TGGACAATTAGCACACAAATTTCTGACCATTCAAATACAGTGTTGTTTTTTTTCGCGTGGTGTGATAAAAGGTTCATAGTGAAAAAAGTGAAACATAAGCATATTCCACATTTGTAGTAAAATAGGCAAATTGGACAACATTTATTGTCGGAAAACGAATGGAAAATCAAAAACTTTTCACAATTTTAATAACTTTTCACAATTTTTTGCTAAACTTTGAAGTTTTGATTTCCAAATAGGCTTCAAAAAGCTCCAAAAAATAAAAAGGCCTGCTCGATCGCTTTTCTTGCTCGAAATTACACGAAAAATCAATAATTTCAACTACGACCCAGTCCCATGATTATTTGTGGTATCTGGTATTGTGTGGGAAACGAAAATTTGAAAAACTGAAAAAAAAAATTCAAAAACTAAAACGCACCCAAATACTAAGTTCCTCCCCATTTTTAGTGGTCGGAATAAAAACTAAAGCACACCCGAATGCATAAGTCTTCCCCATTTTTCAAAAATTGGGAACAAAAAATTCAAAGCTTTTTGTGATTTTCATAGAAATCTTTCTCTCACGCGCTATGTTAAGTACAGAGGGATTTTTTCGCATATGGCAGAGTAATCATTAGAGAAATTTTCATGTCTTATTTCAATTTGGTAGACTATATGTTTGACGGATTAAATCTCCGCTTACGCGTTATTGGCACGAATTATATCACTCATTAATTATCCCAAATTTGGCAAAATGGCAATCGTTAAACACTTATAACGTTTAAAAAGAATAATCACAGATGAAATAATAGCTTAAACATATAAGCTCAAGACATTTATTCTTTTTAAATGATATAAAAAAAGTCAAAAATTGTCGAAATTTGTCAAAAAAAAATACCCCGATCACACAAATATTACGCCACTTTCTTCGAAATTCGGAACAATGAATTAGTTTTTTAGCGTTCAGCTTTAATTTTGATGCACTTCTTTCTTTTTATAGAGAAGAAAGAAAGAGACGAAAGACATAGGGAAGAACAATTGGAGAGAGAAAGAATATACGCAGAAACCCAGCGAGAAAAGGAAGAGCGAGAAAGGGAACGGTGAGTGCAGTAAAAACAAGCGGGCCAAAAACAAAAACTGCAAAAACACATTAACAATTTTTGACAAAAAGTAATCATTTTGGCTCAATTTTTTCCAAAAATTGTATTTCTGGCAATTAAGGGTATTTCAGAATTCCCGAAAAAAAAATGGTCTACCTCTGAGAAAGTGTTTTTTAATGAAAACCTCAGACCCTCCCCTGTACTTTTTCTACCACCAACTAATTGCATTACGACAACTCGGTGTTTTTTCACAGTTCATAACATAACTAACCTTTTTAGTACCATAAGCCTTTTTTTCAAAACTTTTTCCGAAGTATATAGTACAAGTATATAGTATAGAAGTATAAACTTTTTCCAGTTTAGTATATAGTAATCTCTGACGATCTAACGAACCAGATACGAGGTCATTTTTGTTGAGCACCGTTTTCATGGCGTAAAGAAAGATAATTGAATTTGCTACGCTAGTAAATATTGGATAACTCCTTAATTACAGCAGCTGTGTTGTTGTGGGATTATGAAAAAGTTAAAAACCAAAAACTTTTTGAAAGCCGAAAACTCGTCTGATGGATTTAGAAAAGGAAATTTTGAGTCAACTCGACAACATAAATAACCAGGGGTGGATTAATGGTGGGTGCATTTTCGCTAACGTTCCCCTTCAGGGATTCGACCCCCTTTGGTATTTTTTATGACATCCATTTTTGGCCGAATTTTGGCGCCAGTATATACTAATTTTGAGGAGGAGCGAGCGCCCCGAAAAAAAAGCGAATTTTTGGTCATATGAGAACACATGTTTCATCTCGTCGTGTAAACTAACATTTTTTCCATCGGTTTTGAACAAAAATGTTCTTGGATTATTCAAAAATTTCAATCCAAACCCTTTTGGATTTCGAAATGTCTGATGATGTGCTCTTACCAAAAAACATCTATTTTAATTATAATAATAATTGTAGTTCCTGCGAATCGCAGAGGAGCTATCAGTAGGCCTTAACAGTCCTGTTGAGGATAGTCCATTTGTATTATCTCCCCACATTCCAGACAGTGTTATTTTGCTGAGCATTAGATCATTTTGTCGACTTTTTTTAGATCCACCAAAATGATTTTCCGAGCTCTCAAAAATCAGAACAAAGACCCTATTTTGACCAAATTTCCGGCGCTTCCTGCAATGTTTTGAGAAAAAAAACAGGCCAAAAAGGCACTTTTTGACCTTTTGTAGACAATGTCTAGACTGCGAAGATAAAAACCCACAAACATTTGTTTATTTTCTAGAACTGAGTATGTTGGTTATGGGCAGCTGACAAACTCAGGCTATGACAGCGCAGGTCGTGAGTATGAAAAACCGGACTCCGCTTACCTCCCTGTATCATGCAATCCATACGTGAGGCCACCGACCGTTTGCAACGACTACATGGAACCTGCAGCTAATCCACGCTTCCAAGAAGAATCTGACTCTGAAGATGAAGCGAACCCTGAAGATGAAGCGAAGTCTGAAGATGAAGCAAAGCTTGAAGATGAACCAAAACTTGAACCAGAATCCCCAAATCTGGACCCAAAAAAGTACAAAAACATAAACGAGGGTTTTGACAACGACACGGAGTCTGTGGGAGTCAGCTCAGTCAATATTTCTTTGAAAAGTGATACAGACTAACGAATAAACCAAAAACTGTTGGGTTGGAGAGAAAATGCTGACTAACACAATTTGGTAACATAAAAAACGATGGCATAAAACTATTTCTTTCTGGATTTTGAATAATATTATCATTTTTTTTATTTGCTGTACTTAACTTTTTCAACTTAATATCTCAAGCATTTAAATTACGTTTTCTACTCAAAAAATTAACTTGAGATAATTTCGTACAATTAAACAATCCTGGTCATTCTAGTTCACTGTGTGAAATGTATTGCAAACTTTGTACACTTTTAAATTGTCCTCTTTTAATACAACAAATATAACTAGCCGGTTTTGAAAGCTAACGGCCACTCTACCCGGGTTGAGGCTTGCGGTTTCGGCTTCGACCGAGGCCGCTCGAGCATGTTCCAACTGCCAGGTAATGTTCGAGCAATGTTCCAACTGCAAGGTAACATATATGGAATAAATTTCATTATAGAAATTTCATGAAACTTTCCTGGAAAGTTGCATCAAAATTTTGTAAAGGCACGCTATGTAAAGCATTATAAAATATTGTTATTTCGCGTACTGCAAAGCAATAAATAGACAAAATCATTTGCTTCAATTAAACTTGAAACATTTTAATGGCGGATTAAATCTCCACCTACGCGTTGATAGCATAAAATTTATTGCGTTGAAACCATAAGACAGTCGGTTTGACTTTGACCTCCATAAAAAAGGAAAACCTTGTTGCAAAAAAAACTGATCACACAGTTTCCATAAATCACACAATTTCCATAAATCACCAACCGTTCTCCAAAACAATTGTTGCAAGCAAATTTTTTGCGGCTATTTAGTCCTGGATTCACAAAAACTAGATATTTTTCTGTTTTTTTTTCTAGATAATTTTTTCAAAAAGGCCCAAAAAGCCTATTTTATCTGAACTGGATTTTGCCAAATAATAAAAATTTTCAACTTAAAACATATTGTAGGCAAAAGACATAAAGAATCAGGCCGTTTCCGATGCTTTGCAAATGCAAGATTGTTGAACTTTTGGTAACTCTAGCTTCGATAAATCAAGCTCTTTGTCACTTCGAATAACAATTCCGTTACTAAAGCCCACCAAAAGTTTGAGAAACGATAGCATAAAACTATTTCTTTATGGCTTTTGAACATTGTTATTATTTTTTGATTTGCTGTGCTTAATTTTATCAATTTAATACCTCAAACAGTTAAATTACGTTTTCTACTCAAAAAATTAACATGAGATAATTTCGTACAATTTAACAATCCTGGTCATTCTAGTTCACTGTGTGAAATGTATTGCAAACTTTGTACACTTTTAAATTTGCCTCTTTTAATACAACAAATATAACTAGCCGATTTTGAAAGCTAACGGCCACCCTACCCGGGTTGAGGCTTGCGATTTCGGCTTCGACCGAGGCCGCTCGAGCAATATTTCAACCGCCAGGTAACATATATGGAATAAATTTCATTATAAAAATTTCATGAAATTTTCCTGAAAGTTACATCAAAACTTTGTAAAGACACGCTATGTAAAGCAGTATTATATATTGCTATTTCGCGTACTGCAAAGCAATAAATAGACAAAATCTTTTGCTTCAATTAAACTTGAAACATTTTAATGGCGGATTAAATCTCCACTTACGCGTTGATAGCACAAAATTTATTGCGTTGAAAGCATAAGACAGTCGGATTGACCTGCATAAAAAAAGGAAAATTTTGTTGCAAAAAAAGCTGATCACACAGTTTCCATAAATCACAATATTTCCATGAATCACCAACCATTCTCCAAAAAAATTGTTGCAAGCAAATTTTTTGGGTCATAATTTAGTCCTGGACTCATTCACAAAAAAAAGATAGTTGTCTGTTTTTTTTCTAGATAATTTTTTTTTAAAACGACAAGAAAGCCTATTTTATCTGAACTGGATTTTGCCAAATAAAAAAAAATTTTCAACTTAAAATATATTGTAGGCGAAAGACATGTAGAATCAGGCCGTTTCCGATGCTTTGCAGATGCAAGATTGTTCAATTTTTGGTATCTGTAGCTTCGATAAATCAATCCCTTTGCCACTTCGAAGCACACCAAAAATTTGGGAAACGATAGCATAAAAATATTTCTTTATGGCTTTTGAATATTGTCATCATTTTTTGATTTGCTGTGCTTAATTTTATCAATTTAATACCTCAAACATTTAAATTACGTTTTCTACTCAAAAAATAAACTTGAGATAATTTCGTAAAATTAAACAATCCTGTTCATTCTAGTTCACTGTGTGAAATGTATTGCAAACTTTGTACACTTTTAAATTGTCCTCTTTTAATACAACAATTACAACTAGCCGGTTTTGAAAGCTAACGGCCACCCTACCCGGGTTGAGGCTTGCGATTTCGGCTTCGACCGAGGCCGCTCGAGCATGTTCCAACTGTCAGTTAATGTTCGAGCAATATTCCAACTGCCAGGTAACATATATGGAATAAATTTCATTATAGAAATTTCATGAAAATTTCCTGGAAAGTTACATCAAAATTTTGTAAAGGCACGCTATGTAAAGCATTATTATATATTGCTATTTCGGGTACTGCAAAGCAATAAATAGACAAAATCTTTTGCTTCAATAAAACTTGAAACATTTTAATGGCGGATTAAATCTCCACCTACGCGTTGATAGCATAAAATTTATTGCGTTGAAAGCATAAGACAGTCGGATTGACCTCCATAAAAAAAGGAAAACTTTGTTGCAAAAAAAAGCTGATCACACAGTTTCCATAAATCACACAATTTCCATGAATCACCAACCGTTCTCCAAAAAAATTGTTGTAAGCAAATTTTTTGCGGCATAATTTAGTCCTGGAAAACTTGAGATAATTCTTTCACAAAAAATAGATAGTTTTCTGTTTTTTTTTCAAGATAATTTTTTTTAAAAGGACAAGAAAGCCTATTTATCTGAACTGGATTTTGCCAAATAAAAAAAATTTTCAATTTAAAATGAATTGTAGGCTAAAGACATGTAGAATCAGGCCGTTTCCGATGCTTTGCACATGCAAGACTGTTCAATTTTTGGTATCTGTAGCTTCGATAAATCAATCTCTTTGCCGCTTCGAAGCACACCAAAAGTTTGAGAAACGATAGCATAAAACTAATTCTTTATGGCTTTTGAACATTGTTATTATTTTTTGATTTGCTGTGCTTAATTTTATCAATTTAATACCTCAAACAGTTAAATTACGTTTTCTACTCAAAAAATTAACATGAGATAATTTCGTACAATTTAACAATCCTGGTCATTCTAGTTCACTGTGTGAAATGTATTGCAAACTTTGTACACTTTTAAATTTGCCTCTTTTAATACAACAAATATAACTAGCCGATTTTGAAAGCTAACGGCCACCCTACCCGGGTTGAGGCTTGCAATTTCGGCTTCGACCGAGGCCGCTCGAGCATGTTCCAACTGCCAGTTGATGTTCGAGCAATATTTCAACTGCCAGGTAACATATATGGAATAAAATTCATTATAGAAATTTCATGAAATTTTCCTGGAAAGTTACATCAAAACTTTGTAAAGGCACGCTATGTAAAGCAGTATTATATATTGCTATTTCGCGTACTGCAAAGCAATAAATAGACAAAATCTTTTGCTTCAATTAAACTTGAAACATTTTAATGGCGGATTAAATCTCCACTTACGCGTTGATAGCACAAAATTTATTGCGTTGAAAGCATAAGACAGTCGGATTGACCTGCATAAAAAAAGGAAAATTTTGTTGCAAAAAAAAGCTGATCACACAGTTTCCATAAATCACAATATTTCCATGAATCACCAACTGTTCTCCAAAAAAATTGTTGCAAGCAAATTTTTTGCGTCATAATTTAGTCCTGGATTCATTCACAAAAAAAAGATAGTTGTCTGTTTTTTTTTCTAGATAATTTTTTTTAAAACGACAAGAAAGCCTATTTTATCTGAACCGGATTTTGCCAAATAAAAAAAATTTTCAACTTAAAATATATTGTAGGCGAAAGACCTGTAGAATCAGGCCGTTTCCGATGCTTTGCAGATGCAAGACTGTTCAATTTTTGGTATCTGTAGCTTCGATAAATCAATCTCTTTGCCACTTCGAAGCACACCAAAAGTTTGGGAAACGATAGCATAAAAATATTTCTTTATGGCTTTTGAATATTGTCATCATTTTTTGATTTGCTGTGCTTAATTTTATCAATTTAATACCTCAAACATTTAAATTTTGTTTTCTACTCAAAAAATAAACTTGGAATAATTTCGTACAACTAAACAATCCTGTTCATTCTAGTTCACTGTGTGAAATGTATTGCAAACTTTGTACACTTTTAAATTGTCCTCTTTTAATACAACAATTATAACTAGCCGGTTTTGAAAGCTAACGGCCACCCTACCCGCGTTGAGGCTTGCGATTTCGGCTTCGACCGAGGCCGCTCGAGCATGTTCCAACTGCCAGGTAATGTTCGAGCAATGTTCCAACTGCCAGGTAACATATATGGAATAAATTTCATTATAGATTTTTCGTGAAACTTTCCTGGAAAGTTACATCAAAATTTTGTAAAGGCACGCTATGTAAAGCATTATTATATATTGCTATTTCGCGCACTGCAAAGCAATAAATAGACAAAATCTTTTGCTTCAATTAAACTTGAAACATTTTATTGGCGGATTAAATCTCCACCTACACGTTGATAGCATAAAATTTATTGCGTTGAAAGCATAAGACAGTCGGATTGACCTCCATAAAAAAGGAAAACTTTGTTGCAAAAAAAAGCTGATCACACAGTTTCCATAAATCACACAATTTCCATGAATCACCAACCGTTTTCCAAAAAAAATGTTGTAAGCAAATTTTTTGCGGCATAATTTAGTCCTGGAAAACTTGAGATAATTCTTTCACAAAAAATGGATAGTTTTCTGTTTTTTTTTCTAGATAATTTTTTTTTAAAACGACAAGAAAGCCTATTTATCTGAACTGGATTTTGCCAAATAAAAAAAATTTTCAACTTAAAATGAATTGTAGGCTAAAGACATGTAGAATCAGGCCGTTTCCGATGCTTTGCACATGCAAGACTGTTCAATTTTTGGTATCTGTAGCTTCGATAAATCAATCTCTTTGCCACTTCGAAGCACACCAAAAGTTTGAGAAACGATAGCATAAAAATATTTCTTTATGGCTTTCGAATATTGTTATCATTTTTTGATTTGCTGTGCTTAATTTTATCAATTTAATACCTCAAACATTTAAATTACGTTTTCTACTCAAAAAATAAACTTG